GGGTCTGGTAGGGAGAGAGATCCCAAATCCTGAGGATGGTTTTGGGGTTGGTTTGTTCTTTAATCTGCTCTTCCTTCATGGTTGACACCATCCTAATCCAAATTTTCACCATCCCAATCCAAATTTTCACCATCCCAACCCAAATTTCCACCCTACAGCTGCTGCTCTTTGGGGTCAGCACCATCCCAACCTTCCTGTTATTAAAGGAAAATCTGGAAGGGACTGGAAAATTCCAAATCCCACTTAGGAGGGACATTTCCTTCCTGCTGCTAAATAAAAACCTGGAAAGGATTTTTTTTGGTAAAAATTGCCAAATCCCACTTTAGAGGGATTTCCTTTCTGCTGCTAAATAAAAACCTGGAAAGGATTTTTTTGGAAAAAATGCCAAATCCAACTTAAGAGCATTTCCTAAAAAAAAACCTGGAAAGGACTGGAAAATGCCAAATCCCACTTAGGAGGGATTTCTTTCCTGCTTTTAAAAAAGTCTGGAAGGGACTGGAAAATGGGAAATCCCATTTAAGAGGGACATTTCGTTCCTGCTTTTAAATAAAAACCTGGAAGGGACTGGAAAATGCCAAATTTGACTTAAGGCATGTTTCCTTAAAAAAAACCTGGAAATGACAGGAAAATGGCAAATCCCATTTTAGAGGGATTTCCTTTCTGCTTTTAAAAAACCTGGAAAATGCCGAATCCAAAGCCCCAAACAGCAGGGGGTTTTCTGATCCCGATAATCAAAGGTTCTGATTTAGCGCTGAGCAAAATCTTCCCCTGTCAGGGAAGGGAATGAAAAAATCAGGAATGGAAGATCCGGGGTGTTTGAATTTTGATCCGTGTGAAATGTGGAAAATATTTATGGCGTGAAAAGGAACAGCAGCCTGGAATTGGCTCCTTCCAACAAATCCCCGAGAGCGGGACGGGAAATTTGCGTGAAATTCAGCGGGATGAGAGCGCAAACGACAGAAATTTGTGATTTACGTTGTTCTGCCGTTCTCCTCTTGCAGTTTCCTGCTTTTTCAACTTCACCAGCCCGTCGGGGACGGTGCTGTCCCCAAACTACCCCGAGGAGTATGGCAGCGGTTTGCACTGCGTGTGGCTGATCCTGGCCAGCCCCGAGAGCCGCGTCCACYTGGCCTTCAACGACTTCGACGTGGAGCCCCAGTTTGATTTCCTGGCGGTCAAGGACGGTGCCACGGCCGAGTCGCCGGTGCTGGGCACCTTCTCGGGCAGCCACATCCCCTCGGCGCTGACCAGCAGTGGCCACGTGGCCAGGCTGGAGTTCCAGACTGACCATTCCATGGAGAAGAGGGGCTTCAACATCACCTTCACCAGTGAGTGTCGCGGGATTGCTTCTGTGGGG